TTGGTAATTTTATTAGGGTCATAACAACAGAGCAAAATTAGTCTGGTGTCTTCTCTTTTTGCATTTTTCCTCTGCTGAAGAAAAATAATTTTCTTAGCTCTCTCTCTTCAGAAGCTGGGTAGGAACAGTAGAAACAGTGTTTGCTCCTTCCACTGGTGCTACCTGACAACCAGGATGAGGAACAAGAATGATGGAATTTGTTACAGATGATGCTCCATGGCTACATTCTATTTTGTGCATTACAATCTCTTGGCCATTGAAAAATCAACAACAAACCAAACCCCCACAAAAACTGACTGTGAATTGAAAAAACTTGCATATTTTGGAAGTGGACTGAGTATTATTGTAATAGACCCTGAAAGGACTAGGCTTTTATTTAAACTACCTCACTTCTGCAGAATGGGATCCCTCAAACCAATGTATAAGAGCAGAATTTCCTACGGATCTGCAAAATGGCCTTGCAGGAAAGAAAATACTACTAAGCAAACGGAAGAAATGTGAGTGACAAATTTGATCTATTCGATGTATTTTAAGACTATTCTTCTGGAAGAAAATTAATGAAATTTACTTTTTGAAGTTTAGAAGCATTTCCAAGTTCTTCCAAGAATCTGAGCCCACCAAAATTACTCTGTCCCTTGCAGAAGTAAGTACCTACGTTTGAAAGTTACTGTGATTAAGTATTATTTTGAAAAAGCATGGATTTTCAGTATTTTCTACTGTCATATACTTTCTAGAAAGAGGAACTACCAAAGTAGTAGTTTATACGACTACTCTAGTAGTATAGTAGACCTCTAGTGTTTTCACTAAGAATGTAAAAAAACATTAATTGGTGCTAATTTTACTTGTATCTCTCTTCTTTCTTCCATGACAGAAAACTATTCATCATTAAATAAATATATACAATGCATTAATTTTCAATTATGTTTCCTTCTGGGATTTCCACCTTAGATTATACTGCTTATAGAAAACAATTAATTTAAAAAAAATTGAAAAAAATCAGAGAATAGATTGAATCTCAGCTGATAACCAGATGTATATAACACATACATTTTCAAAGACCATATCAGTGAAACACTATTGCCTGCTTATCCAGAAATAAGCCCATTCTCTGCAGCTGGCAGTAAATTAATCTGTTTTCAGGAGACTCCGAAAAAATCAGTTTTCTCTCTCTTTCTTCCTGTCTCTTCTGAATTTATAAATATGGGACATATTATTAAATGATGTTTGACAGAGAAGAGAAATATTTTTACATGTTTGACAAAATTATTACTTGCTATGATGGAATTTTCTACCTCTGCATGTGTTGAAGTTATATTGACTGCATGTTATTACATACAATTATAGTAAGAAACCAAAAATAATTAATTCAAAGAATTTGCTGCGCAACACCGTTACAAAATAATTATGGTCTCCATTCACCATATAGTATTATTACAGGCCTTAAAAGATGCTGCATTGGCTGTGCCTTACAAAATGAGATTTTAATTTTAAGGCTCAGACCAAAGACTAGTTACAATTCTGCATGCAGTATTAGCTGAAATTTATCAGGTGCTAAACGCTTAAATGCAGATAGCTATGATAAATCAGCTGCCCGGAAATATCTGGTGGTTAATAATTGGATAACCAATCTAATTATCTAGAGAGAATGGTGACTGTTTTGTTGAGGTGATAATTATGCATCTTTACTATTAGGAAATTTCCAACTGTGGAGAGCTGATGTGGATAATTAAAATATGTTGGTATTTTAAATATATATTGCTTTTAAAATATAATACATCCTTTGCACAAAGCAGGATGAACTTAATATGAGATGGCACTCAGTTGTTTTTGCGGTATCTATATATTTTTTATAAAAAATCTTGACTTGTCTTGTTTTTTTAAGTCTGAACCTTTCAAAACTTTTCTGCATGAAGTTAATTTGACGCATTTTCAGTGGTGGATATTTACCAAAACTCTTGTCTCTGATATTAAAGTCTTCCAGGCACTTTGAGCATTTGCATGACTTCTTTTTTGTACTAAACCTGCATGAGCATGAACACTATATAACATGAAAAGGAAAGAAAGTCCAGATACCTCTTGGTCTTGTTTATGTTGAATATGAACACAAACCCCAAAAAGTGTGGAAATAACATTTCTGGAGAGAAGTATCCTGTTCCCTTACAGACTGTCACTTAGCATTATGCACTAACAGATATCTCAGCCTTTGCTAAGGATTTTATCTTCATCACTAAGAGGCCAAGAAAGACAACACAAATATCAAATTCAATTTTGTATTTTAGTCCAAAATCACAATATTGCATTCAATTATTCTTATCTGAATAGACTCTATTCTTGATAAATTTTTACTCTTGAATGCTACCATTAGAGACGGTAGCATTTCATTAAAGATGTTACTATGTCTTCATTGCCAAATTACACCCCTGCCTTGCATGTGGAGTAAAGGAGAGTGGGTATTTCTTCTTTGCTACACACTTTGCATAGGAAGAATAATAAATGGAATTGTCTTTACCAAGGGAATACAGCAGTTGCTCTCTCCCTGCATTTGAGACATGAAGGACAACAGCAAGAGCTGGGATCTGCTTCTCTGGCTGCTTTCTGAGGGTGGGGGGAAAAATGCAACAATTAATCAACCAATTTTCCTTTGTGGGATCTCTTATGGGACGATTGCAGCCCTGCACGTACACTCAGAGCTCAAAAACCTGTGGTAGTCTTGACATCATAGGTTGCCACATTTCACGTTCCCTTCCCTTGCCAAAACAATTAGCAATGGAAAAGCACCAAGAAGTCGTACACTTAGGCACAGCAAAATGAAAAAGCTTAATTAGGTCCTGCAGGCAGCATAATGAGAATGTGGAAACAAATCTCTGTTACAGAAGATAGATGAATGGAAGGCTGGTGTGCAGGATCAAGCCATCTGGAGACAGCCAAAAGTAATTTAGATTGGTGTTTTGACAAACTCTGGCAGCAAGAGCTATTAAGGGCACCCATGTGTTTGTTTAATAGTGGTTGTCAGCATTTCTTCTGCAAACATTACTGTATTTTAAAAGCCTGGTGGTTGCAGCTGTCTGGGCTAAAACTTCAGATCCAGATTCTGGCACAAGAACTCATTCTCTGTAAAAAAGAACTCCCCAGTTTGTGGGACTAGGAGGAACACCTCTTTTATGTGGTACCAAGGAGGTGGATGTTGGCTTGGGCTCCTCCTTAGAACATGGTAGTCTAACCTTCTGATGCTTTCCTTGGGGGTGGAGGAAATACAGAAGTAAAAGGCAAAAGTAGCACACAGGGAATACTTTTGAGAGGTTTTATCTATCTTCCTTATTATGAACTTGCATAAAAGAATTCGAGTACATTACAGGGAAACTTCTGAAAGGTTCTGGAAAAAAGCAAAGTCTATTTGCCCATATTAGAATTCCCAAGAGATATCAATTTTAGGGGCAAAGTTGTATACAATAATTATGTGGACATAATGTGGATTTACATAGTGGCCACCAATCTGCTCATATGGAAACAAACCCAAACCCAAAATGCAATACCTCCTCCTAGTCAAATAAGCTAAAATTGCCAGCAGTGTTCTTAAGATCATGATAAGAAAGAGGATTTATCATTTTGTGGCAAATAATATAACTGCTAAGATTGCATTTTTGTTTCCTGGATTTTTGTACTTAGAACTTTGCTCCTCAACTAAAATGTCATGCAAGTTCCTTTTTCAATCTTAAAGTTGATATTTTCAAATAACCATTTCATTATGAGAGTGGAGGCCCCAAAAAGCCAACTTAATAGGATAAGTTACAAATTGGAATAATGAAAGTTATTAATAGAAGGGACTGAATTTGATAATAGATTTGGACATTTCAAAGCATGCAAAACAAGAGCAATGTACCCTCCACACCCTCTCCAAATATTTTCCAATAATTTTGATTTGGTAGAAAGTAGAAACAGCAAGCAATAAATCCAAAATATATTCAAACAAACCAGAGTTACTTTATGCTACAGAAACCAAGACATATATCAGTCCTGATGAAGCTAATTTGTTGAGCTCTTTTGATCATAAATTACATGCTTTACTTCGCACTTCAGAGTTTGAAGCTGACTTCTAGTTCTGCAGTTAGAACAACAATTTGGAAGTTACTGATAATTACATGGTAGAGCTAACCTTTAAACAGATATTTTGTTTTTGTCTTCAGTTTGTATTCTTGATAGCACAAAGTATGGTGTGAACAAAGGAAGATGAGAGTAAAGACACACAAAAAAGACACTTCTGAAGGAAAACAGGGAGGGAGAATATTAGGACACTTTGGAAAGTTTTTAAGAAAGAAGCTGAAAGGAAAACTGTGCATGAAAAGTGAAATTCAGACTCAGAAGTAAAATACAGATAATTACCACTAATACATATGTTAGTCTACATTTTATAGAAGAATGATATTTCTTTATAATATGACAAATTTTTAAATAATTTTTAAAGTATGATGAGTTATCATTTTAATATATAGAACATATAACTATTTAAGTGACTATAAAGGCTATGGCTGAAATATGCAAATCAGTGCAGTGTTTTATAGTCAGGCTAAAATGTGATTTTTGTTCTATTTCATAAATTTGATTTTATTTCTGTTATTGAAGTACCGCAATTTTTTAAAGGGCATTATCAATTACTTTTTCATGGATTAGACAAGTAGTATAGATGATATTTAGAATGGTTTCTGAATAAAGTCAGTGAAAATAAATTAATAAACCAGCTACTTTTTAATGCTACATTTAACTCCTGTATGTAGTTTAGTGTCAATTTTGTTTAGTCAATAAAGGAAAAACATACTTAACTTCTTTTTGAGAAGGAATTGTCTGCTGACTTTATTGACTAAAAGCTGCATTTGATAAGCCTAAGTATCATAAATAACCATAATGTTGAAATAGGATTCTTATGCTCAACGTAATCTCATAAATTATATTGTATGGTTGTTAAATATATAAATATCCATGAAAATATACATATTCTCACTTACCCAACGGACAGGAAAGGCTCCTTTGATTCAAGTCTGTCAAGCAAATAAAAAAAATTTTTAAATATAAAAAAATTTTTAAATATAGGTATTTATTGTGTTTAAAAACAATTGTGCAATGAGTTTAAAACAGCCATTCTCAGTGTCAATTTTATTTAATGACACAATTTAGCATGAATAGAAGGACCTGATTCATTTTAGTAAGCACTTTTAATATTCCGCTTTAATTTCCTCTTAACTTGGAAAAAATCCCATTTTCCCAGTGGAACTTTGATCTAGAGATCAAATATCTAAAAAGCAGCACATCTAGGCCCTTTGAATTTCGCAGATTCAGATGACTTGTGTAGATATTTGAATGGAATGTCTAGAGCGAACAAGAAATACTTTGTTCTTTTTGTTGCCCTTTTTTTTTTTTTTTTTTTTTAAATTGGTTTCCAGCACCCTATGCTCATATGACATGATAACTTCATCATTATGAGAACTTCTGTCCCATTTGCCAGAATTGGCCTTGTGCTAGATCTGGGTGTCACTGTTTTGGCAGATCCAGAATCATGCTCGGTTCTAAACCCAGTGGTTCAAAGTGCTCTCCCACTCCCTGCTGTGGCTGCTGTGGCTGTGAGGAGATGCAGCACCTGCACACTGGCAGGAGCCTCTTCTACTGGGAGTTTCCATCCAACCAGGATAGATACAAGAATCCTCATCTGTGTTATCAGGCAGTGTTCCTGCTCTGGTATCTGCAACTGGCTGCCCTTATTTTTTTAGCATGCTCTGACTTAATAGAGTTTACTGATAGCAGCTGCTTGATAGGACCATTAGTATGTGATTTTAGGATCCTTTATAAACATGTTTAAAGCTAATTTGCAGCTGAGTAATTTTGAGTGGTTACGTGATGTACAAAAATGTTCTAATGTGATGATTTCTATGGAGCATAGTGTGTTAGGAAGAGCAGAAAATAAATACCCAGGTCATTAATATTGCTTTGTAGCCTTTAATTAATATATCTTTGGAGCCTCTTTGGAGCCTTCTAAAGAATATCATATGTGGAACTGAACATTTAATTTATGAATCTGAAGCCAATTTAGGCCTGCAATAAAATATTTTAAATATAAATAATTTTAAACAATTACCATTAGTTGTAAACAAAGGTACTTTAAATAATAAATATTTTAGAGAAGAAGCTTCATGAAAGTCCTCTTCGTATAAAATCTGAGTACTGTTGCAGTCATTATTCATTCAGTAAAGGTTTTGTGCAAAAACTTACAAACCAATAGACCAGTTTAATTATTACCATCGTCTAAAATCCAAAACATTGAAAATGCAGTCCCTTTTCTGTTGTCCTAATAACTATAGCTCACCATTCAATTTCTTTCTGGGGTTGAAATCTGTGTGGAACTAGAGAATAGAAGAGGAAGCACTGATGGCTTTGCATATGCCTGGAAGCGCAGTAGAAGCCCAAATCTGCATGTCCTTGAGGTCGGGGCAGTCCCAAGAAACTCTGAACTTGGCATTTTCTGTGCTCAGGCAGTGCTAGCAGAGAGCAATAAAGTGACAGGGCCCTTCATGGCGGGTTTCACCCTTCTCCTGCAGGTTCTAGTGTCATGTTTTGATTTCCTCTTTTTCTGCTTAGTGAAATGAATCAGTCAGGGGAAGCAATCAGTGTTTGGCTCGAGAGATTAACTATAAGCAGGTTGAAGAATGAAAGCTCTAGAACATAAATACTTCATAATATCAAAATTTTGTAATCAAGGGAGACCTAGCACTACCCTGATAGAGGAAATTCTGGTAGATTTTATTTGAAGACAGAGTGTGTGATAGACAAAATACTGTAATTAAAAATCTATTTGAAGTCCGTTCTCAAGCTGGAATTCAATTTGATTTAAATAGTGCTGCCCTAGGTTTGACCTCTCTCTATATTTGACTAAATGGTTTTAGATAATTTGCTGAATTACTTTTAATTAGTGCAAGTGTTCCTATAGTAAAGGAACACAATTATCTGTTTGCCTTTTATTTGGTAATTCAGTATATGGCAAATTAATATAAAGGTTTAAAACTGCAATATAATATGAAATAACATCTTATATAATATTTACTGGTGATGCTTGTCAATAAAAAACACTTCTTACCTTTCTTTTCAACCTAATGTACACTGACTTTTCCAGAGTTTTGAGGAATTCTTGAAAAATTAAATATGACATAGCAAAAAGACTAATTCTGATAAGTTTTGAGAAGGGCTGTCATACACCTCCAGGAAAAATCTTAAAGCAGATGTCTCTGCAAAAACATATTTTTGTGTCCAAGAAATACTAAGCTAGACAGTAAACAAAGTCTTAAAAATGTCTTAATTATGTAGGAGTGGTAGTGAATCAGGAGAGACATCAGAAAAGATCCGTTTGTCAACATGCCAAGGCAATATATCAGTTTGAATGGGATGGAGGGAGGCTAGGCAATAGCAGGACTGGGACATGGCAGAGTGAGGTGGTGCTCCTCTGATTCTCAGCTAAGATTTTCTGAGCTAAGATTTTTCTTAGCTACATGTGATAGATAAGTTTTGCAGGAGGAAAAAAATTTTTACACTATGTCAGTTGCTCAGTTAAAACCAGTCACTGTAAACTGAACAGGCATAGGCAATTGATTACTACCCATTGATATACTACAGTCCTATCACACTGTGTTTAAAAAGAGGACCCTACAAATTTCCCATTTAGTATTATTCCCCTTGCAACCTGTCTTGGATCCCAAAACAAGTTCTACTTTCTTGCAAAATTGTCCTATTAAGATTAGAGGCAAGAATTTTTCTGCATTTGAGGCCTGACCCAAGATACATAAATCTATATAATTACTTGTTAAAAAATCCTCTCCTCTCCTTCCCAAAACTGTGTACAGGACAAAGTTAATAACATTTCTAACAACATCAATGCATTACACAAGCAAATGGATTTTAGCCAAGGATTCTCCAAGGTAATTAATTATGAATCAATATATTCTTCCTCTTGGTGATAATATAATTTCATCTTTAAAGCACTTAGTAGGAAAAACACATGGAATTTAATGAATTTGTTAGGATTCTTATTCTGACCTGTTGAAAAAACAAAACCATCTGCCCTGAATCAGAGAAAGGGGTCAGGAACAAATATTTTTTCAGATGAGTCATCATTTTATGTTACAACCTTCATATCAGAATTCCTGAGGAGGATTATCTGACTGTGTAGCTGGCACCACACATTTTCTGTTTGACTATAAAATGTATGAATAGTGACTGCAGTTTTCAAGGGGGTTGGGAACGTTTTTATTCAAGCCAGATAGGAAAGTCAGGACAACTGTAAAGCATTTTGGTCTTCAGTATAGTGTTAATGTGTATTTAGACTGACTGATGTGGCTGACTTATTTACCTGTCAAATATGTCTTTTTTGCACTGTGCAGTGTTAGGAACCAAAGAATTAGCAGGACCAAAGATTAAGCAGAAATATGTGTAGTGAAAGATTATTCAGATTTATGGCTTACCCTGTTTATCAATGCATTAAATTTTAAAATGAAAAGAACAACCCAAGAGACCTTTCAGAAGAAACTTATGTTTCCATGCACAGTAATCAAACATGGATTCATTTTTCTCTGAATGTTGAGTCTGTGGTTTGAAGTGATTAAAAACCATCTTTCTTCAGAACTTTTTAAGCAGTATTATATATTGTCATCTAATTTCTTTTTAAAGCATTTGCATTGTAAATTTTGCTACCTCCCAATTTTTCCATTCAATGCAAGCAAACCTAATACAATGTCTTAATTTACAGAAGAAATATAATTTCATATAACTTCCACTATCTATTTAGTCTGAAAGAACAGTTGCTGGTGTAAACTAGGTAATCTTTCCTTTCTGGTTTCTGTGATTTAATTTCAATCCAAGATCATTTTTCCTGGACATTGTCAAATAGAATAGGGTAAGAAGCTCATTTTGTCTTCTGAAGCTTCCATAAATATCTTTATAAATGTTGACAAGTTTTATCAAGAAAATGTCATATTCTGGAAAACATAAATGGTAGAATGACTGTATAGAAGGTCTAACCTATCAGAAGTGTTTCAGAAACAGAGGGAATGAAAGAATAATTTACATGTTTATGTCAATTTTTACAATTGTCCCTAACAACTTTAATAAGTTCTATTCCCATCTGGTGGTTGACATTGCAATTGATAACTCAGATTAGAAAAACAACAACCAACTGTTGTTTTCATGAATATTGCATAATGTTACATACTATGTATTAGTTTTTCCAGTACCTCAAGAAGTTGTATTCAACAGCCCTAAATGCTTCTGTTATTTATTGAATTATAAAGATTCTAGCACAAAAGCCAGGGGTGGAAACTAGCATACTGCGAGCTCAAACTCTCATTTCTCGGTGCAAACGTAGTCCTTTGATGCGGTAACTGACTTGGTGGATAAATGATAAGTCAGATGATAGGAAACACTTAGTCTCATTTTTAAAGCTCTTGATATTGCCTGTTTTGAGAGTCTCATAATCAAGCTGAGAAAATATAATCCATCCTGAGCATGACCATGAACAAAGAATTATGCCAATGGGAAAGAGAGCCACGTTAAATAAGAGGAACACTCAGTGTTATGATTCATTTAACACTGGTGTGCATAAAATATTTTAATAAAAATGTTACTGCATGTAAAATAGGTAACAAAAAGCTGGTTTTAATCATCCAGTGGAGAGAGTTAAAATATGATTTTTTTTTTTTTTATAAATTGAAGAATTAGTATGAATTCAGTGTGATGAAATTTAAAAAAGTAAAGCAGACTGAGAATTTGAGAACAGGAAGTATTTTATACATATATGAAATGAAGGACAACTGTCTGGGTATTGCAAAAAAATCTTTTCAAAAGATGAAGAACTGAGTAACAAGAGAGTGCTAGTTATGGGGATGTATTAAAACATCTGTCCTCAGAGCTGACTGAGAAGTGTCCTTTAATCAGCACATGCTTCCTCTCTTCTAGTCTCAGATCATAGTTAATTGAAGTTCACAACTGAAATATTCAAGGT